TTTCATTCCACCTTCAGCATTTCAGAGTCTCAGGCGCCCCAAATGCTATGGCCCTGCTGTTTGAGAGGGCATTTGTTTGGAACTGTGACACCGTGCCCAGTCGAGCGGTCTGGTCGAGCGGTTCGGTGTGTCCTGGAACGCTTGAGTGGACTTCCAAGTGGTTCAGCTCCAGTTGTGGAGCTTGGCTCTTAGTTCCAGGGTTCAGGAGTGAGTTAACTGGCTAGATCATTCCACAGTTGTGCATGGTCCAGCTTGGTAGGGATAGATGGATCGATCGACAGATAGATCGATATACACATGCACAATCATGCACATGCATGACACACACACACAAATAGACCTGGCGCATGCATCTCTCAAGTCCCAAACGGGTCTGGCCAGGCTAAGGTCTCCCCATGCCGGCCTGCCGCTCCGTGGGTAGCGGCCCGCCCAGGCCAGCGCCAAAGAGTCTGTCCTTGGCGCATGTGGATTTGACCGAGAGCCAGAAGGACGCGGTGGGCGAGCGTGGTGGGCGCCCGGTCGCGGTGGGCGGTTGGAGAGAGATTGACCAGCAGAGTGTTTAAATGAGAACCCCGAGAGAGACATCCATTCGAAGTTGGAAGAGGCTTTACAATCCAGATGAGGTGATTTTATTGATCAGCAGTCTACTTTTCAACTCACTTCAGCTCTTTGTTGTTCCATTTGGTGGTGGTGGCGGTGGCAAGTCTTCCGTTTGGGATGCATCCGACCGAGCCATTGAACTAAGTGGAATGGTTCACGGTTCCTGGCCTTGACCTCTAAGGGGCTACAAGAAAGAGACCCCCCACCTGGTACAAGTACAGAGCTGGTGTCCCATGTAGGTCTTTGCAACGTTGCTACCATTTACGACCTGTCACCCGAAGTGCTTATGCTGCGCCTGTCGGCAGCATGGAATCTGCATCGGGGCAGCATGTTCAGCATCTCGAGGCATCTCGAGGCATTGGCTCAAGCCAGACATTTCGTTCGGGATGGGGGCGGGCCGCTCGCAGCGCGACACGTCCGTCCAGGGCATCCGTTGCCATGGCCCACCCTCACCCCACCGATGCCTATGCCCTCGCGCCTCATCCCACAGACGCCTATCGCCGAGCATATCCATCATCGGCACCCCCACCTCCGGGTGATTATGGCTATGGTTACAGCTACCCTCCTCCGCCAGCCTATGGCTACCCTCCTCCTCAGCACCCACCACCAGGTTATGGCTACCCACCACCCGGGCCACCAGGCCATCATCCCCCACCGCCGGGCTATGGCTACCCACCACCCGGCTATCCACCACCTGGCTATCCGCCGCCAGGCTACCCACCTCCGAGCTACTGGCCACCACCCCCAGGAGCCTATGGCGGGGGCTACGGTCGTGAACCCTCCAGGAGCAGATCTCCACGGCGGGAGGGGAAGTACACCTGTCGCTTTTTCATTGGCATCGAGAACGACAACAAGTTCAAGGTGGCCAAGCGGATCATCGGGGGCAACGGTGCCAACATGAAGGAGATCGTGCGGAAATCCGGCGACGTCGCCAAGCTGCGTTTGCGGGGCAAGGGCTCGGGCTTCGCAGAGAGAGACACCGGCGAGGAGTCACCCGAGCCACTGCAGCTGTGCATCTCCTGCCCGACTCAACGCGGCTACGACATTGCGCGAAAATGCGCCGAGGAGCTGTTGTTGAGAGTCTATGATGAATATGAAGACTATTGCTCGGAGAAGGGCTTGGAAGTTGAGCTGCCAACCATCAAGATGACTGAGCGGCATATGAGTGGAGACACTGGGGGGGGCGCAAGGCAGCGGTGCCGGGCGGAAAGGGAACCGGCGCGAGCGCAAGAAGCCCAAGGCGGCCGCGAAGCCCAAGGAGGAGGATCACGGCGAGCGGCCCGAGGGTGCCCCAGGCGTGGAGGAGATCGAGGAACTCATCTCCGAGCGGAATGCCTGCCGCAAGCGGGGCGAGTACAGCAAGGCGGACGAGATTCGGGACGATTTGAAGGAGCGGGGCGTGGTGCTGAGCGATGAGAAGGGCGCCCATGGGGAAGGCTTGAACGTCACGTCCTGGAGGTATTGGCACGACTGAGAGGTGAGAGAGGTGGATCGGCCACGAGTGAATGGAAAAGGAACCGCGGACCGCGCACCTCGCTGCGCTGCGGCTTGGGTGAAGCTGGGGGAAGTGGCCACGTCGAGGTTCGCACCAAACTTTGGGCAAAAGAGGCCTCCTTTTTGCACGGTGACACGGAGAGAAGCATACTATTGGACCCCACGAGGCGTGTCTATTGATGATCTCTGAAAAGAGGTTAAGGGGTGTTTCTTTATAATGCCTTGGGGGTCCTGGTAGTGATCCGTTTGATCATTGAAGAGGTTTGGGGTGACGAACTTCGCTTCTGGGGCGGGGAAGGCCATCTGATAGCCGGATTTGAGATGATTTTAGCAATGTATCCCACCTTGAAGTTTCGCCACTTCAGGGAACAGCTGCTTCGGCCCCCCAGCTCTTTCGCCGAGCTGCAGTTGAAGCACCCCCATCCTCCCCACACGGTGCGTCCACCGCCTGTGGTCTTTCAGATTCAAGCATTGTTTTTGGCTCGCCAGGTGAAGTTAAGTTATTGGAGTGAGGAAGACTTCAGGGATGGCTCTGAGCCCTGGTCCGGGCACCCAGGGCGCCCAGGGCGCGGGACGTGAGAGAAGAGAAAGGATGAACGATTTATGGCTTGGGAGAGCCATGGCTTTGGAAGAAAGCACTTACACTCCCTGGTTTCCCTTTGCGGCTGCTAGGACGAGCTCTGCAGAACCGGAGCCTGACTCACGCAAAATTTAAGAAGGCACACCGATTTTCCTCCATCCAATATGTTTTTGTGGGGAATCCTTTGTTTGTTCTTCTTCCCATGCAGCCAGCCAGGTGGGTAGCGTGAGCGCTTGGAGTTGGAGAAAGCGCGGGCGTCTCACAGGTGGAGAACGGTGGTCTCACAGGTGAAAACCATCGAAACAGGAAGCACTCTGGAAAGTCAGATCAAGACTCAAGACACATCCTTGGAGTTGATTTTGGTGAACATCACTGCTCAAGTCTGCATCTTGTAAGATGTAAAGCAAGAGACACACACACACACACACATATATATATATATATATATAGATATTATGACTTTATAGATATGTCAAGCCTGGATGATTTTATAGATATGTGTGCACTCCCCTAAACCTATGTCTTTCCAAACCATGCAGGGGAAAAACGACCTTTGATGCACCGAGTGGAAGTGTTTTTCTTTTTTTTTGTCCGGTGAACATTTCTATGAGCTGCAGGCTCATCCACCAAGCTTTTAGGGTCAAGACCCATCCACAGACATCCACAGACAGGATTGACACGAAGTGGGGAACAGCCACAAAGCTGCAAAACATCCCAATGTGTCCATAGGAGTTCTTGGGCCTGTGGCAGCGCAGGCGAATTGCATTTAGGTTGAGATCTCGTCAACTCCACCAGGGACGACGTTTCGCTGAGAACTGTTTAATCACCTTCAATTTGAGAGATGTGATTCGCCAGACCACGTGGTCGCGACGTTTCGGGTTCCACGTCCAAACTCGGAGCGAAGGGCGCCGGAAAAAAAGGGCCTCCGGTTTTGGTGTCGGGGCGACTGTTGGGATACTCCAACGTGACTGATGGGCGACTGGATGGCATGGCCCCGAAGACTCGACCATGTTCCGAAGACCTCCACTTCCAGGGGTGAGCCCACTTATCCATGTTTGTTGGAGGGCGTGAGTGTCGTTGAGATGATCCATTTAAGTTGGGTCGGTCCTATTACCTGTAACAGTCAATTATCACTATGTTTGAGAAAGACCTTTGCTAAGCATCATGATCCACTGTGACTGGCAATGGGATAGACTGATAGACCCAACATTTAAGTCTACCTGGCATACCAAGTTACTGTATGGGTCAATGGATTGTTTACGAGTCTCTGCCATAGGGGTCACAGCCGTGTCGGTTCTAGGGGTGCTGTAGTGGCACCTCGCACATGAGCAGAAGGTTGATTTGGGTCATGCGCTGCTGCTGATATTGTGGTGGCCCCCCAGATTGAAGCAACATGGAACAACATGGAACAATGTACACAAGCTCAATTGGGAGTCATTCGACAAACCTGTGAGGATCTCTCCACTCCAAATACGGATCCAGGTGCTTCACCAGGCTCCCTCCAAATCGCAGCTCCGCAGCCGCCAGCAGTTCGAAGACGGAAGATCGCGGGCGCGGGTGACGGAAAAGAGCGCGCCAGCGCGTAACCTGTCTTGGACCTTTTTCTGCGCGAAGAAATCCGTGCAGAAAGAACCTCCCGTCGCATAGGCGACGTGGTGCCAAGGGGTTGCCGATGTGGGTGGGCAGGAGAGCTGGGTTTTGTGGCATTTGACGTGGGCATTGGAGCTATGACCCATACAGTAGCATCCAAGAACCTCTATTGTGATCCCTTAAATAGATAGTGGCAAGGTTTCCAATACATTTTTACTTTAGTGACTTTAGTGGAGATTTACTTTTCTATTTGTTTGGGGGGTTCTCTCTTTTTGTAAAATGGATGGTTTAGTTACAGTGGAGTGGGGAGTAACAAGCTGTCAGAGTCCGCACTCAGACCTGGCGTCCGTTGGGACGCCGTGGTTTCACGGGGTTTTCACGGGGTTTTCAGGGGAAAACGCATCGAACATGCACTCCCCGGAGCCGGACAATGGAAGTGCACAATGCCCTGGGAGTCAAGTCGACTATAAAAAGAATGGTCTTTAGGTGACCCAAGTCGAGGAGTTTCCTGTACTTCAGTCGGTCAAAGTATAGACTTTGGACTTCTCGGGAATGGTTCTTGAATGGCCCCGAAGACTCGGAAGACCATGTTCCGAAGACCTCCACTTCCAGGGAGCTCCACTTAACCATGTTTGATCCAGGGGGAGTAGGTAGTATAATGCATAATGGTTGTTTTTTTTGTACCAGCTTTTGGCCTCATCCCTCTTGATTGGACTCCATCCATTGCCAGGTCGTGATGGGCTGGGGCGGCTGGGGAAAAGAGGGCGGCTGGGGCAAAGGAGGTGAGAAGGGCGGCAAAGGCGGCTGGTCCCCATGGCAGCCCATGTGTCTCAGCTGCACTCCCTTCGATCCAACGTCGGCCGCTGGTGGGTGGAAAGGACCTCCTCCTGTTGCTCCATACTGTTCCGAAGCCAAGTGTCGGAGCTGGCCCGGCAAAATCTCCTCAGGATGACTTGGAATGGTTTGAATCTGTGTGTCATCGAGGAACTGAAGAAGTGCACCTGTCGGGTGCGCTTGACGAGGGTCCGCTCCAATGGCCACCTGTCGTTGGCGCCGGCTGAGGTTCATGAAGTGGGGCATGAAGGGCAAAGGCTGGGGGAAGGCAGGAAGGTTTGATTCGGGGGAAGTGTTGACCCGCACCAGGTGGACGAGCATGCGCTGACAGTGGAGGTTTCTGGACATCTATTGAGCTATGGCGAAGCCCTAGGAGTCCAAAGACTATACTTTTCCTGAAGTGAAGTAAAAAGAAGTTCCCTCTCAGGTCCCCTAAAGACAATTCTTGTTTTAGTCCTTACTGTAACTCCCAGGGTATGGATTGTTCACACAGGTTTTGGTGTGGGAGTTCAATCTCCGCACCCTCCGTTGACTTGAGCCTTTCCTGCGAAAAGTGCACGCACTTTTGAGCCAAGATCCAACAAGGGATGAACAAATGAATAATTAAGGAGGACAGCATAAAAGAAGCCACACACCTATATAATACTGTACAAATATAATATATTATATATTATGCGTATATGTATGTAGTATTATCCACGCGTGATGGACAGACGGCCGTGGTGGTTCGTGCCTGTCTGACACCATTTCGTATGTATTTGAAAGTATTTTTATAGTTTCCTGGAGAAGTTGTGAGTTACGAAAGCCAGCCTTCGTAGACGGCGCCAGCTGAGTTGTGTTTGGCGAACGAAGTGAGTAAGTAGGGGGTCTGGGGGGGGCTGGCCCGAGAAAGCACTAGGTAAACTCGAAATTAGGTGGTGGAGAGGGGTGTGCCGAAGGTTTTTGAGGTTGTGTTGGACAGTTGGAGGTGAGTTTTTGTGATTTTTGAGGGGGTGGTGATGCAAGAAATGCAATTTGCATCATTTGCATCACCTGAACGGCGAGGTGTAGTTTTACAGAGGCCGATGTGTTGGAGCTTCGTGCAGCTGTGAATGCATAACCTTCTTACACACCTATATAAGTTCAAAGCACAAGTGAGTCTTCAAATCCGTGGATTGCTGCACGTTTCTCAAGGTTATCTAGCGGTTGACGGAAAGGGAAATTGAAGTGCTACACCTGGCAACTGAATTATAGCTACCCTGGGTCCGTATAAATGCTATGTTGCTATACCTCTTGCACACCTATATAAGTTCAAAGCACGAATGAGACTTCAAAGCTGTGGATTGCTGCACGTGTGTAAAGGTTATTGAGCAGCTGACGGAAAGGGAACTCGAAGTACTTTACCTGGTAACTGAATTGTAGCTACCCTGGGTATCTATACGGTGCACGGAAGCAAGGTTTTGGAGGTGTGTTTTTGTGACTTGAAGAAATGCAATTGTCTTCGGTTGCTTGTAGTGCCTTACTTGGCAACTGAATTGTAGCCACCCTGGGTATACCTGGCAACTGCCTTGTAGCTGTGCTGGGTCTGCGCGCGCGCCTAAATCTAGGGCAGCCGGGAGCCAGCAAGGCGCGGGCACGCGTGCGGACCCAGGGTAGGGAAATTGAAGTGCGACACCTGGCAACAGAATTGTAGCTACCCTGGGTCCGTATAACTGCTATGTTGCTATACCTCTTGCACACCTATATAAGTTCAAAGCACGAATGAGACTTCAAAGCTGTGGGTTGCTGTGCGTGTGTAAAGGTTATCGAACGGTTGACGGAAACCAACTCGAAGTGCTATACCTGGCAACTGAATTGTAGCACCCTGGGTACCTATACCTGGCAAGGCGCCAGCTGAGTAAGAAGGGGGTTTCGGGGGGGTGGCCTGAGAAAGCACACTCGAAAGTAGGTGGTGTGTAGGGGTGCACGAAAGTAGGTGGTGTGGGACGTGTTCTTTTGTGAAAAACGACGGCTTTCGTTTTGCAGTTTCTCAGGTTGTATGTGTTCTTTTTTGCTTTCTTTCATGTGAGCAGGGGTGGTGTTAAAGTTCATGTGGCCCAGCGTAGCATCAACGGTGTTTGCAAGTTCACGCGGCCGTTTACCCACCCCACCCCTTTCAGATGCGATCAGCGGAAACGCCGTGGCCGTCCCGGTTCCTTAGCGCGCCCCCCCCCCTCCCCCGAGTTTGGCGGTCGGGTCCGAGCGTTGAGTGAGTGAGACGCGCGCGGTGGCAAATCCCAAAAGGTCTCTCCCATTTTCTGTGTGTATGTATAAAATATTCTTGTTATGCAATTCTGAAATTCATTGCAAAGGTCTCATATGTGTTTTGTTGCTGTTGGGGATGTTCGATTATTCTTTGGGCTCCAAACTTTTCTAGGTTGGGTGGTGTTCTTCCACGACCACGATGTTTTTTTCTCGTCTCCTTCGCGGTGAGGGCAGCAAGGGCCTGAAGGTGGATCCAGCCTTGAAATGTTGGATCGGCAACCTGCCCGAGGGCACCTCGTGGAAAGCCTTGCAGGCGGGAAGAGGGCAGGTCGATCGGGCGGAAGGTCGATGCCAGACTGGATCGATGTGAGGGGTTTTGATGGTGGAGGAGACCAGAAGTGGTGAAGTATTGAAGTGGATTCTAGATTCATGTGCAGATCTGAAGGGGGGGATGTGTTCGGATCCCAGTGATGACACGCACCAGCTCAACATCAACACTCGTGCGGACAGCTGGAAGCATCGCTGGTAGATGTTCTTTCCATCTAGATCTGGCCCCTGGCCATCATGCTGCACACTCGGGCGCCTGTGCGGCACATGAGCAGCACCTGTCATGGGATTTTTCCCCTTCAGTGCTAGATTTTGAAGACGAACTTGGGTCGACCCTGTTGATAAAAAAAACGTATCCGTCTTTGATCGTTCCACCACTGGAGTCATGGCCGGAATCATGGCATGAGTCATGCTTCAGGGTACACTCCTGGACACTCAGTCCCAACCGGAAACAAATGGTTGGAACCCAATTATGGCTTGCTTGAGATCATTTCCACAGGAAGTGGCTGGAGCTCGGGGAGCCATCCAGATTTGTTTCTGCTTGGGGTGGCCCCGGGTGTTCCAGTATCTTCTTGGAGGACCCTCTTTTGGGACACTGCTCCAGCCCCAGCGCCCCGAAGCGCCCCGAATGCAGGAGCATATGAACCAGGCCAGATGGAGCTGGACACCGCTGACAGGGGCTGTGATGGACACCGTTGCTGAGGATGTGGTTGGTTGTTTCCAAAGGTTTTTGGTCAAAGGTTTTTTTTGGAAGGGTTTTTATAGTTTGGTCTTCCATGTTCCATGGATTTTCAGGTTGCTACATGACTGTCTATGTGGGATGGCTCAGGCTCAAGTTGTGAATGATGAGGTGCCTAGTGTCCGCTTGAAAGATCTTCCCAGACTCAAGACTCACTCGAGGCAAGCACAAGGAGAAGGGATACCAGGAGCCTTGAGACTGCATCGAAGGATTGTGCTGCACATGTTCCAATTACGGTGCGCGCTTTATTCAATGACCATCGGACTTCGTTTGTTCTGGGGCCCTTTCTTTGTGAAGGGAGCAGCAGCGAGGCAGCTTGCAGATCTTCCAGTGGCCTCAGATAAGCAATCGCAACACAGGTACATATAACTGTGATAGGGGAAATGCTCCTCCCAGTGCTGCTCATCACGCTTGTTGGATCAGAGCATTGGCCAATATGGCTGGCAAGCAGGAATGTGAACAATACTTGATGCCTGTTGTGCTCAAGAATCTCATGCCCACACCTTTTTCGGTTAGCTCCGCGTTGGACTTCCTTCGGCTCGGCTTTGAGACCAATTTTTGGGGGTTGGCCTGCCCTGTTCATTGTGGCACTCCCTCCATTGCCACGATTTCTCTTGCTTTCATCTCTGGATTTGGCTTTGGATTTGGGTCTGGCTTGATCCTGCTTCTGTTTTTGGCCTTCCGACTAGGTCTCCTCTCTCACTCTTGGGGACCTTTCCCTGCAAGCACCCCTCGAGCTCAGCAGAGCTCCTCTCCAGGCCTGACTCGAATTCAGGCCTATTTGTATGAGTGATCAGCAGGTTGAGTTGCTCCAACTTCAGGTGCAGCAACTGTTGATTAGAGTGGAGATCTTGGAGAGGAGGGTTGGAGAATTGGAGAGAGGTGAACAGCACGGCGCGGCCTCAGACTTTGAATTGGTCTCCGCCCGAAATCGGCCTTCGAGCCCCACCAGGACTACATCAAGCTCGTCATCCACCTATAACTCCTTGGCTTTGGAGATTCCTGAGGTGTCTGGTGAAGCTCTTCGTTTGTGTGGCAATCTTCGTGGAGGGAAATTGTCCTTTAAGCAGCGAGCAGAAAGGGCTTGGTCCGCTGGTTGGTGGGCTCGCTTCGTCCTCGAGGGCCGTGTCTCGAAGCCCCGCCCAAGCACGCCCTGTGATCTTGCCAATACCACTTACGTGGTCATCAGGGCATCTGGCATCAGTGAGCCAGTTCGAGTCGAGAAGGCTGCAGACTACAGAGCACTTCTTGGGGACTTTACAGGATCTACCTCGACGAGCCTGTCGCACGGATTTGCATCCAAGGCTGAGGCGAAGGTGTACTGTCTGGGAGCCAATATCCCTTACCCTGAGAGGCTCTATCAATGGAGCTAGATGCAGTCATCCCATTGGTGGAGGAGAATGTGGAATTATTCCGGATTTTCTGGCCTCCGGACCCAAACTTGGTTCAGGCCAGGGCTGGAATTTGCATGGTCGTTATGGTGAGAAGAGCAGCTGGAGGAGGGTTGCTGGTCGCTTTGCCTTCCGCCCTGGTCCCAGCAGGATCTTTGCCTGTGGAGCCGATGGAAACGGATGTTATTGGGCCCCACACTCATTTGGAGGTGCCAGGAGTTCGCATGACGAATTCAGCTACAGACAGAGGCTTTGGGCATCGACCTGGGACTTCATGTCGTAGACCTGGGTCAGCCTGCACTTCAAGCTATCACTCCTTTGGCTCTTCTCCCAGAGTCCGAAGATCAGGGGCTGATTGGTTTTGGAGAAGACCTGGATATCATTCCCGACCCGTTTGTCCTGGTCGAGATGGTCAGAGAGTGGTTGGGTTCACATGCCAGCAATCTGGTGGCCTTCTACTCCGCGGAAGAAGGAGAGGTCATCGAGGACGACGAGGTACATGCTCTGCCGCTGCCGGCTCGAACTGGTCAAGCCCGGACAATGACGCCGGATACTCCAAAAGCCAAGCCAAAGGAGCCTGCAAAGAAGAGGGTTACGACTGCTGTCCTCTCGGAGCAGCTGAGCAGTCTGATGGACTTGATTCCCTCAATGACGAATCAAATATCAGACCTGCAAAAGGGCCAGTTGGAGCTGCAGGAGTCCCTAGCTATTCAGAAAGCATCGCTCACTGCAGCAGTTCAGGGGGCGGCAAACTTTGCAAAGATGGTGGGCCCGCCTCCAAGGACAAAGCAGCTGCCTCAGCCGTCTCCAACACTGGCTATTCCCAATTCTGGCTTAGATGCAAATCTGAGTCGGCAGGAGTTGGCGGAGGAGACAAGTCCGGTGGCTCATGCAGATCCTTTTGCACGAGCAATGCTGGAACAGAGCAAGGCCATCATGAGTCTGGTTGCACATATGCAGCAGGGAGGAGATCCACTTCTGGACGGGCAGGCTTCCTCATCATCTATGGGGCGAGGAAAGTTGCAAAAGGACTTGGCCTCGAAATCCGGAGGTTTTTATCTTGCTGTGCTGCAAAATGCTGTGAAGCGACTCAGGCCAGCCCATCCCAGACCGAGCAGTGTGGAGGAAGTGGCCTCAACGGATTTCTCGATGATCCAATACCTGGAACGATTCGGAGGCTACGGACAATTCAAAGAGTTGGGGTTGATCCAATATGCCCTTGCTCACATTTTCGATGCTCTTGCCCACTCGGACCTGAATGGGGCACGCGACTATCTGGCGTTGTTGATGGTTGGAGTCGATCAGGCCAATTTGGATGGCAACAGGTGGGAGCTGGCATATCGGATGATGCTGTTGGAGGAGCCGCCCTCTCAGCTATGGAGCTACAGAAATCAGAGCTTCGATCCACGGGCCAAGAGCTTCTCGGCCCTAGCCCCTCAAAATTGGACCACTGTTGCCTTGGCCTACTCCAAAGAAATGGACTATATCCAGACCAAACGCTTAGAAGTCACTCAACCAAAGGGAGGGCAAGCCTCAAATCAACAACAGGGCCAGAATACCCAGTTGAAGAAGAAGGGTCGCTTTCCAAAGGCAAAAGCGACCTCAAGCCAGGAGCATGCGGCCTCCTAGTCTCGCATGGCCCTAGTGGCCCAGGCTCCCCTCCCAGTACCCTTTCAAGTGCTCTCTTGCCGAGCTCTTCTATGTCAGAGCGCCTCGGCGCTTTACACGGTCGGAGAGCCTTGGAAAGGGGAAGTGAGGATGAGAGACAGGGTGGCTCAGACTATGAGGGCTCGGATAGCCCGGCTGAGGCTTTTGATGGATCAGAGGCAGACTATGATGGCATGCCTTTTGAACGCACAGGGCGCATGCCAGCTGCCGATGGTGGTGTTTCTGGAACCAGTCACTGTCTTGGACCCAACGATGATGTGGGCCTGCAGGATAGCGGTGTTCCTGAACTGGGCAAGAGAGAATTAGATGCAAGGGGCCTTAGGTGCGGGCCGGATCTGGAGTTGATGACTCAGATCCCGTTTCATTGCTGGGTTCATCAGTTTGTGAGACAGGTGCTCGCTTCCAAGACCAGGTTTTCTTATTTCGTGATGAGATCTATTTCAGCCTGCCGCAGTGGTCGTGATGACATCACTGCAACCGCCTTGTATCCCATCCCCTTCCCTTTCGAGGATGCTTTTGGAGATGGCCTGGGTTCGAGTAGCAAGAAGAGGAGGAGGTCAAAGGCTCTTCATCGGCGGATGCATTTGACCATCATGGCTCTGAACTATGAGCACTTTAGACATCCTATGTCGATCTTGCAGCTCATCCGGAGACGTCCTTCGGTGGCTCACAAAGGGGTGTTCAACCGGATATGGATGTTTTTCAAGGCGAGCGGCCCTCCAGCTTTTGTGTCAGTGGCTGGATGTGGACGGAAGAGTTTTCAATTAGGTGCAAGGATGAGGGAGATTGTTTTGGCTTTGGAAAACCTCGGCCTCAATCCTTCCTCTCTTTACCATCATGAGGCGGCCCGAAAAGAAGTTCCAATGAACAATGATGTTTATGAGGAGCTTCGACCATATCGGCCGCTTGATGCAGCTCGGATCAAGCTCACTGGCACCGGCAGCTGGGAGTGCGCCAATTATCTCTCAGATCTTCTTTACATGCCTTTTGTTGAGCCCGAGTCAATTCGCTTTGACATTGCTCCTCCTTCTGGATCCTACCCCAACGTGCTGGAGGGAGATCTGGAGCAAGTGTCCAAGCTATGTCGAGTGTGGGACTCTCGTGGTCTGTTGAGGCTCATTCCCACATCTTTGGGCCCAAAGAATGACCAGAACTTGCTACACTCCAAAGTTTTTGGCAACTACAAGAACGTTGACACTGACAGACAAATAGGAGACAGACGAGGGAGAAATTTTGTCGAAGGACGGCTGCTGGAAGGTCCATCGCATGACATCCCGAATGCCACCGCCCTGCTGCAGCTTGAGGTTCTTCGCTACAAGCAGGTCTTGGTTGGGGCAATAGCAGATAGACGAGATTTCTACCATCAGTTTGCAACCACATATGAACGTGCTGCAACTAACACTGTCTTCCCAGAATTCTGTCTTGGAGATTTCAAGGACACGCGAGCCTACCAGAAGTTTCAGGTTGACTTTGGGGCTCCGATTAAGAAGGACAGAGAAGAGCAAGGAGATTTCTTGGGGGTGCCAAAGCCCCTCCTTGTCCCATGTGATGACAGCCTCCCTGTTTTTGCAGCTTTTGGGGCGCTGTTCCAAGGTGACCATTTGGGCGTCGAGGTGGCTTGCTGTGCTCATGCAACGATGCTTGAGGAAGCCGGTTGTCATCCTAGCTGGAACAGACTTTGCGCATCTCAGTCCATTGTGCACAATTACCCTGTCACAGGCCTGGTTATTGATGACTTCTTTTGTCTATCATCTGAAGGTATTGATGGAGCAGCTGGGGCAGTGTTCAAAGGAGAAAACCGTTCCCTTGAAGCGTTGGCTTGTGCGAAAGAGGCCTATCAGCGTGAGAAGATTCTGGGCTCAGATGACAAGGAGATCTCGAATGCTCTCCTCTACAAAATTATTGGTGCTGAGGTGAACTCTACAGAGGAGGTTGCAAGGCGAGGAATGGTCTCCCTTGGATCACCTGCTCAGAAGCGTTTTGGTCTCATGATGCTCAGTGCCATCGGGGCTAATCTGGCCTACACTACGGATGCCCTGCACTCATCCTTGATTGGCTCCTGGATATCTGTCTTGCTCTATAGACGACCTATGATGGCTCATATGAACAGGCTTTTTGGAGTGATTGATGCTAAGGAGCTCAACCCGGAGGTGCCTGTGCTGAGGCCGCTGTCTCGTGGAGCTGCAGAAGAGATGCTGATATTGGCATGCCTTGGGCCTTTGGCCGCTTCCAACATTGCAGTCCCGTTTTCGGATTCATTGTATGCATCTGATGCCTCCACTTTGAAAGGGGGACTTGTGAAAGCAGAGGTGGGTGAGAGCCTATCTAGAGTGCTTTGGAGGACTGCAAACAAGAATGCCAAGAACCCGCGCCTTCAGAGTCGCACGATGGCTCTACATAGGATTCGCGATGAGAGCTATGAGGAGCTTGATGTTGATGATTTTTGGCCCGAAGATGTGCCTGAGGTGAGTAGGCCAATTGGACTCCGCTTTGGGTTCATTGAAATTTGTGGAGGTGCTGGTGTGGTGACCCGAGCTCTTTGCGAATTGGGAGTTGTCTGTGGACCTGTCCTTGACATCAGCTACTCAAGAAGATATGATATTTGTGACAAAAGAGTCTTCTCATGGCTGGCCTTTATGTGTGAAGAAGGGAGACTAAGATCCTTTCTTGCTGCGCCGCCCTGTACCACTTTCAGTCCAGCTGCTCATCCATGCTTGAGAACGTACAAGCAGCCGCTTGGCCTTGATCCACGACATCCTCGAGTTATCCATGGGAACGACATGGCCTTTTCCTGTTTGGGCTTGCTGATGGTGGCAAAGAGAACACACACACCAGGCATGATGGAGACCCCCAGAAGATCAAAGCTCCGGTGGACCCCTCAGTGGAAAGCGCTTCGCCGATTAGGAGCTGATGAGGTGCATCTTGCCTCCTGTGCTTATGGATCCATCCATCAGAAAGAGTTTGCCCTAATCACTATGAGCATGGACGCTCGAAGGTTGGGCAAGAGATGCTCAAGGGACCACAGGCACATTCGAATTGAAGGCAAGTTTACAAAGCCGAGTGCAACCTATTGTCATGGACTTGCAGTTGCTCTGGCACGGGTCTTTGCAGATCACATCCTGGTTGTTGAGGAGGCTTATGAGGCATTCCAAGAGCCGAGAGGACTTGAAGATGCTCTTTCAAATGAGGTCCTCTTGTCATCTCCCTGGGAGGTCGTTGCAAGCTGGAAATGGAAGGGTTCGGCCCATATCAATTTACTTGAAATGGCTTCGGCACTTCGGGCCTATGAGGCTGAGGCAATCAGAGGAGGAGATTTGAGATTTGTCGAGATGATCGATTCTCATGTCGCCTTATGTGCTCTCACCCGGGGCAGGAGTTCTTCTGGGGCCTTGAGACCTTTGCTGAAGCGAGCAAGCACACTTTTGCTGGCCTATGGTCTCTACCAGGTGGGGAGGTTTGCACCTACACGGATGAATCCAGCGGACTGTCCCACACGAGATCAGCCGTTGCCTGAACCTACCTGCCCAGCTTTCGAGGGAGCCTCTGATGTTGAGCTTAGGTGGATAGCTTCCCTTTCGAAGATGAGGAGATGGATCTCAAACTGGGCTCGCTTATGCCTGCTACTTTGTCCTTCCTGGCTTCAGTTTTTCACTGATACCTCCTCTTGCCGCCGCTATGGGCATCTCACTGCCCTCAGCCTCCCTGATTTCATGGATTTTGATTCGACCCTTGGTTTTCCGGGTGAGGGTTGGTTCAGTCCCCTGGTTGGTCTCATCTTTGTGCTGAGCCGATTAGATGTAGCTGGGGCGGTCGGCGCGAGCCATGGAGATGCTCTCAGGCGAGAGCAACGGGTGGGCATCGAACTGCCGGAAGGGAGAAGAGTGACGCAACTCACTTCGTCCATTCGTGCTCAGTTGGGTGCGGCTTTCAATTGCTGGTTGAGAGAGCAGGGCTTGGACTATGACAGTATTTTTCAAGCTAATCCTCCGGACCTGGACAAGGTAAACCAGATTTTGACCAGGTATGGACGTTTTCTGTTCTCCAGCGGCAAGCCCTACTACCACCTGTCAGAGACCATTAACTTGGTCAGTGCAAGAAGGCCTATACTTCGGAGGTCCCTTCAACAGGCGTGGGACCTGTGTGCCATGTGGAGCTCTTTTGAGCCAGTTGAGCACCACCGAGCAATGCCAGCACAGGTCCTTCTCGGAGTACTGGCAACATGTTTAGTTTGGGGGTGGACTAGAGAAGCTGCATTTTTTGCTATGTGCTGGGGCATGCTGCTCAGGCCGGGAGAGCTGTTGACAGCTTATCGGCGAGACGTGGTTTTTCCTCAGGACGTCAGGTATTCAGTTGACCACGTCTTACTGCGCATACTTGAACCAAAGACCAGGTTCCGTGCAGCTCGCCACCAGTCAAGCAAGCTAGAACCTCCAGACCTGATCTATGTTGCTTGGATGGGAATTGGACGGCTCAAGCCGTATGAAAAGATCTGGCCGAGCTCTCCTTCGACTCTGAGGCGCAGGCTGGATAAGGTCTTGTCCGTCCTAGGCCTACCAACTCGAGTGGAGAACTTCAAGAAGCCGCTCACTCTTGCCTCTTTTCGACCAGGAGGCGCTACTTTTCTGATAGGCTTGACAGAGTCAGCAGAGCTTGTGAGGAGGCGAGGCCGTTGGGTTTCGCTGAAGGTCATGGACATCTATCTCCAGGAGGTGAGTGCAACGACGTTCCTGACTGAATGCTCGAATGAAGCTCAACATAAGATCCTCACTGCGATGGAAAGCTTTCCTGTGGTCCTACAAGAGAGTGGCCGCTTCTTTGAAAGTGAGATACCGGAAAAGGTGTGGAATTTTCTTTTCAAACATGCTGCTCAGGGCGTCGAGACGACAGAAGGCATTGGGCGAGACGGGTCAACAAAGGCAAAATAGTGCCTTCCCACTGTCACACATCGAAG